GGCGCCCAACACTGTTGTCAAGCAAGCCAACGCGGAATTTTTAGTAAGTTCTTATTTTTTTTTTTACTTACTACAAGCAGTTACAACACTTGTCTTAATTTACACAATTTGAAACATATGATAATAAGCAATATTCAGTAATAGTTATACAATCCCAAACGAACTATCTACTAAGTGTGTGCCAAGACCTGGTGTCACAAGCTATGGGCAACTAGTAGAATATACCAAATAACAGATCTATCTTACTGTCTGAAACAGAATAGACAGCCATAAATATAAGAGAAACTCCATCACCTGCTGATCGACACAGGAAGAGAAAGCAGCTCACCGTGGAAGTCTCGGACTAAGATCAATGATGCGCACCGGTCTGATAGTTAGATGTACCTGCCTCAGAGCCTGTACAATTAAGTACAGAAGCGTAGTATGAGTACATAAACAATATGTACCCAGTAAGTATCCTGTCTAATCTCGAAGAAGTAGAGACGAGAGGTCGACATGACACTTACTAGGGTCAAATGACATGATGGGTGATACACTAAACATGGATAGCAAAATAAATAACAGTTTATAGCATGAAGCAACAAGTCCTTAACTAGGTGATTTCACAGTTAGCCAATTACATTTCAAGGCATGTAACAAGGTCCCATCTACAGCAATATACCAGTCAACAAGCATATGCAAGTAGTGCCGAGGTCGTACGGGCCAATCCAACATAAAAATGAAGTGTGCACTGCCGGAGGGTCGAACGGCGCGAACCATAGATGCATCTATTACCCCGCTCGCGAATCATACATGCAACGCGCTCAAATGTATTTAAACACATCAATAGGAAGATAAGATCAAACATCAGGAGAGCAAGTACTCACAAAATATCAGTTTATCCTTTTTAAAAGGTCAAAATATAGTGTTCCACTTATTAGATCCGCTTATCATATTCAACAAGATTAAAGAAGTCTCGAATTAATCATAGAGTCACAAGAACATCACATAAAGCATGCTTTAGGGTCCTACACTACGCGGACTTAAGCATAATAGCAGCTACGCACGGGCCCTCGTCACTAAGCGCATACGTAGCCCCCACATTTAGTGACAAATTATTCAATTATTATACCTATGGGGACAACTCCCTCTTACAAGGTTAGATAAGAGACTCACCTCTCTCGAAAGTGCACTTCCAATACCAAGAACGAGCCCGAACTCTCAATTTGGAGCCGAACGATCCAAAACTAGTTAAATAAGGTAGGAACTAGTCAATACAAGCTTGCAAGATCGCATTCTAACTATTAAAGCAATTCCCCACCCTTAAACACAAGTTTCCCAAAATTCGACTCCGGACCCACGTGCCCGGATTCCGATATTTTTCGAAAATAGTTGTACCTCGTAACCTAAGGATCGATAATATATGATTTCTACTTCGTTTCATAACCAATTTCGTGGTAAAATCCATGTTTTATTAAAACCCTAGGTCTAGCTCTAACCCCTTGATTTCTCCAAATCTTTAGGTGTTAATCTACCCAATACTGGAGTATTAAACTTAGACATAAGGGGGATGAACTTACCTCACGATGCTACGTGGAAATCCCTTCTCAAGAGCTCCAAAATCGCTCAATACCCGTGTGCCAAATGGTCAAAAATGGCTGGAGCTCGTATTAAATAAAGCGCACTGCTTCAGCGTTTTCCGCATCTGCGATCAAGGGACCACATCTGAGAGAGGGAGACTGCATCTGCGGAATTGGATTAACGGGCTAGGACCGCTTCTGCGGAATTGGATTAACGGGCTAGGACCGCTTTTGCGGTCTTGAACCCGCATCTGCGCAGCTGCTTTTGAGGCTAGGGAGCTGCTTCTGAGGTTTGACCTGGCCAGCTCTAGGCCGCATCTGCGAGGCTACGACCGCTTCTGCGGTCGCGCACCTGCAGCTAGCCAACCGCAGGTGCGGTTATGACAGCAACTGAAGGCTTCAGACCTTATCAAATTTTCGAACTTCACTCGAGCCTCGTCCGATTGACGCTCGGGGCTCCCGGGCCCCGCCTGAACATACCGACAAGTTTGAAATCATGAAACGGACTTGCTCGAACCTTCAAATCGCCCGAAACAATGCTAAATCTAAGAATCACCCCCCTAAAACCAATTGAATCAAACTTATGAACTTCAAGTACTTAATTCACTTCCAACGAGCCGAAACGCACTTAGGCTACTCGGATTGACACCAAACTTTGAGGGAAGGTCTTAAATATTATATTGGACCTGTACTGGGCTCCTGAACCAACATACAAGCGCGACACCAATGTGATCTATCATTAATTAGTTTCTTTAAATCCTAGGAATTTCAGTTTTAACAATTTCTAATAAAAATTTATTATTCAAGCTAGGGACCTCGGAATTCGATTCCGGGCATACGCCCAGGTCCCATATTTTCTTACGGATCCTCCGGGACCGTCAAAATACATATCCGGGTCCGTTTGCTAGAAATGTTGGCCAAAGTCAAACTTAATTTTTTAAGAAAATCTTAATGAATCGAATGAGCCTATTTCGACCCAAACTCTTCCGAATCCCGAACCAACCACCCCCGCAAGTCGTAAATTAGCTAAAGAAAGCGCGGGAAGTTTTAGTTACGGAAACGAGGTTCTAAAATATAAAACGACCGGTCGGGTCGTTATTGTTCAGGTTACAACCCTTCTGATGGAAAAAAGGGGTGAAGCAGTCATCATCTAAATATATACTTCTGAGTCCTGTATGTATTTTCCTTTTCAGGAAATGGACCAAATGAAAGGAATAGTCAAGTGTTCGAGATTTCATACTCCAAACCTCTAACAGTTGGGGGACTATAGATATGAAGGCAAAGAAGATTGAAAGTCAAAAAAGACTAAGAAGTCAAAGTCAGAATTCAAGCAAAGATCAACCCAAAAATCAAAAGTCAAGAGCCAAAAAACAAGCCTGATTCAAGAAACCTTTGTAATAAGCTTTGATAAAGTGCAAACTCGCGGACATAAATTACAAGATCTTGCGAGTACTTAGGTTATGGGCAATGATTATTCATGGGTTGCAAGATATACCCTAAATAATTTTGAACCTGTTATAAATAAAACAGTTGTGAAAGAGTTATAAATGTTAAATTACATAAACAAAGAATGATGTACAAAGTTTGAAAGTTCAGAGAATAAAACTTCCTCAACTTATTTCTTCTTTATACTTCTTTCATATTTACACCAATATGAAGGTGAGACGTCATCTTCATCAGTGTCGTTTATAAAAGGGTCCTCTTTTATTATAATTTCGTGTTTGTCAGAATCACGGAATATTGAAGCATTTTTAATGCAAAGTTAAATAACAAAGGGTGAAACAAAAACCCAAACATTAAATAGGCGGAAAATAAAGCCGAAATTTATATATCAAACTTTGCAAACATAAGGCAAATATTTGTCTTCAAACCCTGAAACAAGACAGGGGTAAACCAACCGATTATTGACGAACGAAACATAAGCTGTGGAGTTGTCATTTGAATCTCTAAGTTCTGCATTCTTTTTTCCTTCGTCCGGTTTTTTCCCTATTGGGTTTTTCGGCGAGGTTTTTAACGAGGCAGAGGCAAGGATTGAAAAAGATAAAATCTTCCACTTCCTGGTCACATCACAGTGAGTAACCGGAAAGTGGGCGGACTATCTGTATTAGTGAAAAATAGACTTGCCACGTGGGGGCCATAAGGTGCTAAAAGCTTTGTGGGGGCCATAACATTTGCATGACTATCAAAGCTTCTCATTATGTAGGCAAAATAAAATATTTAAACTCAAATTATTTTTAATACCGAAATGTACCAATTCTTTTTAGTACAAACTAATAAGAAAAGTGTGTCACACAAATTAAAAGAGAAAGAGTAATAAAATTTAAATAAAACAATTACATAGTTTAACATGGTACCAGAGCTATCAGCGATCTCCCTACAATGTAAAAAATAAAAATTTAATATTTTAGATGAGAAATAGTCACCCAGTTCAATAGTACTTGAGGAGGGATCTTCCTACACGACTTGAGCTTAGTGAATTACTCTACTTGTGTTAAAATGATTCTTATCTTACTACTTTTCAGGAAACATCGGTGCACCATTATTCCTATTTGCATATACAGGAATAGCATTTTAACCAAATTTTGAACAAACACAACATAGACGCACTCAAAAGCAAAACACAATAGAAACAGAAAAGGAATATGCAAAGGAGAAGAATGTAAAAGTTACATACTCCTATTAATAAAAATGGACTAGTTGTTTCTGCATGCCCGTTGATAGAACGTCTTTCATATCTCATTTTTGTAAGAAAGATTGTAGCACTATTAAATTCAACTGTCAGACAGTTTTAGGCTAATAGATCTTTGTCATACAAATCCTATGTTGCTTGAACTTTCCAAAAATGTCTGTGAATGTGTGTCGGATTCTTCAAAAGTAATGTATTTTTGGAGGATCAGATACAGGTATGACAATATTTTGGAGAATCCGCGCAACATAATACAAATCTTATCAAAGGTATGTAGTAACTTATTACAACGAATCGTAAGCATTTTATTAACTTGTAATTTTATCATGTTAATGTTGGGGGAAAAACAAGCAATAGAAATGCATGACAGGGTAGCAGTGGAAGAAATACCTAAATCTAAACATTTTTAATCTATTTGAACCAAGAGAAGAAAAATAAACTCAAGCACAAATGCATCTCTCCTTTTTTTCTCCGTCTTATTTCAAACCTAAAACAAGGTCATATTTATATGTCTTTCTATAAGCAGTTAAATTACACAAATAAGTACAAAATTTCTTATATACTGTGTTATGTATATATAACTTAAATTGTTTCTCAAATATCTTGTTAAAGGTATGTGACAATGGAAGTTGTAATCTTAAAGAGAGGGCATGAACGTCATTTGGAGGCACTTGGGCGCAATCGATAAAGCCATAGATATCAAACGTAGTATTTTGATGAAACATGCCATGCCTTAAAATATCTGAACATTGCCTACTCTATTAGGGGACCCACCCTACCCCTTACACGTGTCAACAAATGTAACCCTCCATCAATATGACCCTCTCCAAATTTTCTTAGTTGGCCAATAGTTGCACTAGTTATTCACAGTGTCACACATTAATTTCCAACTTCAGTCAACTCCATTGCCACTGAATTGAACAAATCCCAAAAGGAGAAAAGAAATGAAGGTACGTACAGTTTCAATTCAATTATAGGATTTAAAACTCACAAGTATTCTTTTTTCTTTCTTTATTTTCCTTCTCCCCTCTAGTTCTTTTGAGTTCATATCTTTATTTTATTAACTATGCTTTCTTTCTTGACGTAGATCTTCAATTGGGTGCACCGCAAATTGTATCAGAAAGGTGATGCTAAATTTCTTCTTCATTTAAATTTACAAAATATTACACTTACATTTTTTTACTTAAAGAAAGTAGTGTTTGTTCAACATAAAATATTAATATATTATGGACAAAATTATTAGCATAATGTATAAAGTGTAATATGTTAAGTGGTAAGAATAGATTGAATTTATCAAAATTTAAATTCTGAATACGCCTTTAACTTAACAGATGGAATGGTCAGACGGAATGTGAAGAAAGATGAGCTCAGGATTAGCAATGAGATTATTGGTGACGCACAAGTTCTTCTTCAAGATGCATCCATTGCACGTATGTTAGATAGTTGGAAAGGAGGAATCCTAACAATTGGGACATTCGGTTTCGATCCACTGAAAAATGTGCAAGATCAAATTGGCATAGACATTGAAGAAGAAGAAGTAGAAGAATCACTTGAGGAAGAATATTACTCAGTGGAAAGTATTGGACAATGTGAAATTACTGTCACTAAGGAAAATGAAGAAGTGTACCCATTGATATATGCAAGTGGAGGTGAAGTGATGATTGAATATCCAAAACAAAATGAGATAATGGTCATTGACTCAAACAACTCTTTAGACAGCAATAAGATGCTGAAAAAAGAAAGGATTACTCTAGCAGACCTTTTTTCAGCTGATTCTGATCATCACCAAAACCTTAAGCCAAATCCCAGCAAAAAGGAAGAAGAATTTTACACAAAGAAACCTTGTTCACAAGTGAAAAATGGAACTTCTTTCGCCAAAAAGTTAATTCCTCGAGTTAAGGAGGATTCACGTCCGATCCAAAAACTACAGCAAGTGAGTCTAAGAATTCCTCTTTTTTTTTTTCCTTCACTGCGTGCATGCATGCTTGTAATGCAGGGGTGAGCATATATCGGGTATAAGTATAACTAATAGCCCGAACCGATAAAATGCAATTGGGTTATCGGTATCGATTTATTGGGTAAATAGTTCGATAACGGTTTAATGTTATTTGACTAATGGGTTATCGTTTCGGGTCTCGGTTTGCCCAATTTTATTAACGGTTTAATCGATAGCCCAATAAGCTTTAACAAAATTATAATTTTACCCACTAAGTATATAAAACCACCTTATGGCTTCATTCTCTCATTCTCTCAATTCTCTCGGTAATTACTCTTCATCTTCTGACCTTAATCCTTAGAGTAAGTTTTAAACTTTTCTGAATTTCTCATTTTAATTTTTCAGTTAAGAATTTTAGTTTTAAACTTTAGAGAATTAACTGTTCTGATTTTTAGTTTTTTTATTTGTTTCTTTTGTTGCACTGATTCTTAATTAGTATTTATAAGATTAGGATTTTACTATTTTCCTGTGAATTATGCCCGCCCACAGTGAGATAGTTAGTAAGATTAGATTGTTGAATGGTTTATTCCTTACTCCTATTAACTTATAACTTTGAAAATTGAGATCATTTATTGGGATTTTCAAATGCAAAGAAAGTTTTATTTTCTAAGTTGAAATTTAATCCCTCTTTTCTTAAGAGCAAAAATTCAATTCCTTTCTCTTAATAGTATGATCACGATTTTTATGATAAAAACATGAATTTTTTGGATAGTTTTTATTCTTATCGGGTAAACCATTAACTGAACCGATAAGGATCGATAATCGATTACCGATACTTGATAACCGATATATTATCGGTTCGGTTATCGGTTTAGTATATTTATAAACCGATAAACGATATGACGAACCGATAACATTCACAACAGAACTGAACCGACCAATGTCCACCTCTATTGTAATGTTAGTGTTTGTCCTCATATTTAGCAATATCAAAGTTTGAAAGGGCAGCCCCATGCACAGAGCATCCCGTATTCACGCTAGTGGCAAAGCCAGAAAATTTAGTAAAGGTGTTCAAATTTGAACACCCTTCTCCAGTGGGATACGCAAGGGTGTTCAAAGTCTATTTTTAATCAATAACAAGTAATATTTTACCTTATACGTAGTATAATTTTTCGGCCAAGGGTGGTCAGTTGACCACCCTTGGGCCAACATAGCTTCGCCCCTGGTTTACGCAGGGTCCGGGGAAGGGACGCACCCGAAGGGTGTGATGTAGACAGCGTATCCTAATGCAAGCATTAGTGGCTGCTTCCAGAGGCCGATTTAAGATTTTAATTCTATGGATTCAACATTTCAAGTTTTTAGCATTGAACACATTATATTTTAAAGTTAAGCATTTATATCTATTATTGTAAATTTAGTGATTTTAATATATAAATTTATGCTATGAGTTGAAAGTACTGGGTTCAGTTGACCCAATAGGTGTATATTGCATCCGTGCCAGGCTGCTTTTACGGCTCGAACCCGTGATTTATATCACACGAATACAACTTTACTGTTGCTCCAAGAATCTCCTTCTTTCCTCTTCTTAAGAGGAGAGCATAAACCTTCCACATTTAATTTTTTTTCTTTTTTTGGAAGAAAAGATTATGTTTCTTTTTCCTTGTTAGATGATAGCATCCACAAGTATAGACAGTCAAATTTAGAGAGAAAATGTGAGACACAAGTTTTAGCTGCCACTTATGTGAACCTCTTTAAGATTGAAGTGTATGAGTTTATTCTTTCGATAATTTTGTACTCTCTTTTATAATTTTGGTCGTCCCTGCTCGTGCTTATAGGTCAATTGACCCCGTTAAATTTGGAATCTCTTTTGATATATTTCTATTTTATCGTCTCATAATTAATCATCATTCAGCATTTGTTGTTTTAGATTCCTCATAACACCACCTTATTTTGATTCTAAACTGTAATTAAAGGGTCAATTTTGATCAAACTGGAGATCTTCTTGTTTATTTAGCATATATTATCGATTTGATTAAGATTGATAAATGTAAATTAGCTGCTTGTGCATGTAGTTGATGACGAGGGTGATGAAAAGGAAGGTTCATCCAGATATTGAAAGCAAAATAGGCAAGAACAACAACACTACTACTCATCAAGTGAAAGCAGCAGCTAGCATGCTTGGGCTTTCCTGCGGTAAGCATGTGAGAGTTGACTCTGTTTCCCTTCTGCAACTTGATCAAGGTATGCAAACTTTTTTCTCCATGTAATTAAATATAACTCCATTAAATTTGTTTCACTATAGGTTACTATTGAAATGTTATATCGCGTTGATCAAGATTCTAAAACATGCTAAGATCCATTTATTTTCTCTTTATTTAACTTATAGGAGTATAATATTCAAAATCTTAAAAATGGCGCCAGTGCCGGATCTAGGATATAGCTTTATGGGTTTAACCTTTAAGGTTTAGTATTGAATTCATCATATTTCTTAAATTATAAATTCATACCTGCTATTTATTGCAATTAAATAAATATTTGCGCATAAATTTATGCTTTGCATAGAAAATGCTGAACTTAGATACCCAGTGCCGCAACGCTGCATCCGCCCCCGAATATAGCAGGTTTGTTGATGAATGAAAATTTATAAGGGCCAGTGTGATCAACTTGTGATGTTTCATTGATCTACGAAAAAATGGTAGACATACATACAGACACAAGCATTTTTTGTTATTAATTCCGCTGATTCACTTTAATTGATTTTTTTGATCTTTTTTTGTGGTCCACAATATTTGGTTTTTCTAGATACCAAGAAGGAATTAACTTCTTTTTTTTTAAAGTTGCCCTTAGAGTAAAGAGCCTAAAAGTATTTGTTATATTTCCTATGAACAAATCAAAGATAATATGGTCAATTTTATTGTTAATTAACGCTCAAAGATGAATTTCTTAATATTTGTAAAAACAACCAAAAAGTCAATTAAAATGGAGGAAAGGGTGTAACTTTTAAAAAGTGATACATAGTAAAGGACCTTAAGATGGTTCGGTTTCTGTCCATTTTCCATGTCGGACGACTTCGACAACCTTGATATATATAGTACATAAAGTAACAAACTTTTCGCTGTTATTATCCTGTTTTTTTCTCTTCTTTTTTTTAAAAAAAAAATAAAAATAAAAATCTGCTTGTGCTGCTCTAAGACACTTTCGGATTCTTCTATTTGATTGTGCTTCCCTTTTTATTGCTAGACAAAGGTTACAAAAATTTGCCTGGGGTTGGATGAGAAATATTTCCAACTACAAGTTGTCAAATAATTTAGTTTCCTATAGTTTTCCTCTTTAACCTTTGAAAATAATTCTGTTTCTGAAGTTTCCAATCTTTCAATTTGGAGAGCTGTAAGATCACTCTTTAAGTTTTTTAAGTAGTATTTATTTGGAATGTTAACCACGCATTATAAGAGCAAAAATTAAATCTTAGTAGTAAAAATGGAAAGGGAAAAATAATAAGAAAAATGGTATATTCAAGGATTAACTCTATTTTGCTAATGCCTTTGTGTAAATGATCTTATCTTAATCGCACTGATGTATTATTCCTTCATTACATTTGCAGATGCCACGGCCTAAGCTGCCATATTCCAGTTGCTAATTGGGAATGAAATGAATTAGTTATCATTATGTTTGTCAAATTATTGTTTTATAAATTATTTGAATTAATTATTTGTAAGATTTCCATATTGTGAACAGCTAGACCATGTGATCCGATTATGTCGTGGCTTTTGGTCTTTGTCGTGTGAAAAAAAGGTTTTGTGGTGTTGAATTTAGGGTTTTGATTCGACTGATTGGTTATATTTGGAGGTACCTAGGTGTCTTCTTTATAGCTAATCATCAACAGTAATTATATGCACTTTATAAGAACAGAGAAAGCGTCACAACTTATTAATTATGAAATCCTTCTTCGTCAACACTCAACAAGCACATCAAACAGAATGATTCTTATCCAAATTATAAGTGTTTACCAATAAGTAACAATAAAATTTGATTTGTGGTTTTAAAGATATGTGATTAACTTCAATACCAATTAATAATAAAAAAATATGAAGTAAAAATGAAAGAAATAAGTGAATCAAACCAATGTTATCAGCAGTGGTGACCTCGAGCTTAGTGACCTCGAGATGGACTAAGAGCAATAAAGTAAGAACAATAAACGTAAAGGACAGTAAAGAACAATTCTGATGAACAGTAAGAGAGAAAAGTAGGATAGTATATTCTTGCCAATGATGAAATGATGTTACAAATGATTGGGATCCCCTTTATATAATAGGGGAACCCTAAATAAGGTATATTTCTATTTACAGTAAGGAATATTCTTAATACAGCTATCTAACCGCCTAGTATGGAATCGTACAATCCTATTCCGGGATTTGCGCCATGATCTTGGGGACGTGGCATGAATCTAACTCATTTTGTTATAAATCCATAACGGTACAATTTCGGGATCGAGCATACTTGACTTCGGTATTCCCTGCATTCCTATCTTCGGGTATTGCATTCCGCCCTCGAGCTTGGATCTGGATCTGGTCCCTTGAACTCGAACTCGTCCTTGCCCGAACTCGGACCCAAGACGACCCCTCGAGCCTATAGATCGGAGGCATCCGATTTCGGCCGTATACAGATAGTTCCCGCGTTTCTTAGAGCAAGGCGACAAGAAACGATTTGAACCACGATTCTCCGGAGTCTTTAATGATGATGCCATACCCGTGACGTGAGCGTTCGAAATGACCGAAATGTCCCGTCAGTTCTCTTCCCCAAAACATTAAATGCATGCCAGTAATGGTTGGCTACTCAGCTTCCCCAATACGCTTGAGTGACTTCTATAAGTAGGCCAACTTCTTAATTTTACAAATTTTACTTCTCAGATTGTTTTCAAAATCTCATTAGCTTCTTCGGCTTCTCTGAGTTTCTCCCTTCTTTTCAATTTGCCCTTACTTCACCATCAACCTTTTCTCTTTTCTTGAACTTTTACACCATAATGGCTAAAACATCTAAATCGGTTCCCCAAAAAGAAAAGACCTCTTCATCATCGCGGCCGGTCAGAAGTAAAACGGTGGTGCCACCCCGTATCGAGGAATGCATTTTCCCGCCGTGTGAAATAACATCCGATTTTAAAGTTGAAAAACCCGTATCGACACCAGGCCGATGCGAACCCATGTCTCGGTACGTCCGTTTGATAACCAAATATGAGCTTGAGCAGGTAAAGAAGGACTGCAACTGGGATAACAAAGATGTGGTGATTCCTTCCCTAGAAGAGGACATCACTACCCATAAAGCAGGGCACTTAAGCGTGTATACCTACCCATTCACGTTGGGCCCCGCAAATCCAGCCCTGGGTCCCATAGACTCGGTTGTCCTTAATTTTTGCCAACAATACCAAGTGACGTTTGGCGAGATTTACCCCTCATTCTGGCGAATTGTTCATTTGATCAGATTTCTCTCAAGTCAGGTCGAGGGAATGCCTTTCACCCTCGACCATCTGATCAAGCTGTACAGCCCTCGCCTTTATCAAGGTGGCTTAATAAAGCTGCAACGCCGATCCTTGAAATCTCTCTTTTCCAGCATCGATGAGGACAAAGGGCGAGTATGGATGAGCGGTTTGTCCGAGTCAGGACGTCTTACCTGATCCTTGCTGAGAGGATGCCATTCCCCGAGGAGTGGAACATGAAACGTAAGTACACAGTAACTTTATACCATGCTTCCTCTCGACTTCATCTTTTTCTCGATCTAACCCCTTTTCGATGGTGCAACTGTTGCTTGGTTTCCCGGTGCCATCCCGAACCTCGAAGATTGGGTTCGAAAACTGTCCTCTACCTCCTCCTACACGGAGTGTTGCTGGCGCGATTTAGCCAAGAGCCGATGGGAGGCGAAAAACCATGGTGAGTTCTTTTAGCCAAGACGCTGTTTCCATGCGCCCGCCCCCGCCCGGTGAAGAAGAGATCCCAAAGGCTTTGCAAATCCCTCGAAGCCTAAGAAAAGCGCGGCTCGAAAGCCTAAGGCCGATACTGTGGCCCTATCTCCAGAAACGGCCCAAGGCCTTCGGGACCAGGAAGAAGAAGAAGATGACGACTGCCTGTTGGTAGTTCATAAAAGAGGAAGCACCGGTGCTTCGAAGTCTGCCAAGCCTGTGGTGGCAAATGCGGTTCATCCTAGAACTGAAGAAATCTCTGAGGGGAGTTCGAGTAAAGTCCCCGAGCCATCGGGCAGCAAAAAGGAACCTCGTCTAGGAGGTCATTTGGAGGGTGAGGCCGAGGGACCAGGTCCCGAGGCCCTTCAAATAGAAGAGAACACCCTGAGTGGGTCACTAGGGGTGATCAATGTGGATGAGTCGCCGCCTGGTCCTGAGTTCTCCGAGGGGCAAATTCGAAATGCTCGAAAGATGAAAACTTTTGATGTGGGGATGAGCCACAAAGGGCATGATAACTTTAGAGAATGCCTTGCAGGGATCGAAGATGGCCCCGATCCAGATGTTTCTTTTATTTTCGACGAGGCCCGTCGGCTCTTCAAACAAGTAAGTTTCTGTCCTCTAAAATTACGCTTATGCTTTATCCTTGTCGTTTTGACCTATCCCTTTTTGTGAAGGCCGTTGTGCTCCATAAAGAAGCGTTCTCCAAGTCTCGAGCTGAGCTTGCTCGATGTGAGGCTGAGCTTAGGAAAATCTCGGAAGAGGGGGACGGTCTCAAAACTCTCTATGTCAAGAAAGAGCAGGAGATCAGCGGTCTTCGAGCTGAACTGGCAAAGGCTGGTCAAGAACAAATCGAGCTTACCGAAAAGGTAATATACCCTCTGAAGTTTTGTTATAATTTGCCCGATTAGTCTACTAACACTTTTCCTTTGCAGTTTCAACAAAAGGGCGAGCTGGCAGAGCAGCTTCGAGAGGAGCTCAAGATGAAGGAAGCCGAGACCCTGGGGTGAAGGCAAGGCATGGGCACTCTTTCCTCTGAGAGAGATACTCTTCGGGAGCAGCTGGCTTCACTCGAACGCCAGTTTCAAAGTGTGAAAGAGGAGAGCCTGGCTCGAGGCTGCAAAATCGAGGAGCTTAAAGCTAAATCCGCTGCTGATCTTGCCAAGGCAAAATCTGACGCTGAGGTATTTATAACTTCCTACCGAGCTGACACTGAAGCAGCTAACGCCCGGGCAAAGGGAATCTCTACTGCAGCCGAAGTTAAGTTATCATGTGCACTTGACCACGCTAGGCGACAGTCCCGGAGACAAACCCTCGAGGAAGTGCATGCTCGCAGCTTCGATCTCTCAGCTGATATTGAAAGGGCAAAGACTTTGGGAGAAGAGGTTGCCGCTTTGCTTTCCGATGAGGATGATTTAGCCAGTGGCTTCGACAACAGTGGAGACGAAGACGAAGTCCCCGAGGGGGAGGTTCCCGAGGACGAAGCTCCCGAAGGTGCAGCTGCCGAAGATGTAGCTACCGAATCCGTGGCCCCAGAGTAGATTTAAGTTTCTTTATTTTGTGTTTTTGTGCAAGTGCTCCTTATGTAAATATCTTTTGTAATCATCTTTCGTAAATACAAAAGGGACCTCTCTGTTTTGATTTTGACTTGGGTTGGATTTCATTTTGTCCTTATTTGTGGAAAATTCGATTGTACAACTCAAATGATTAGTTCGAATACTGGTTTGGATCTAGAACATAATAAACCCTTAGATTTTTAATTGATCAACATAATGCCTCTTAAGGTCTTAGGTAGTCCTCAAACTAAGCTCAAATCAATTTGATGCGAGCTCGGAACAAAGGGACTCTTGAGTCCGAGTTGAGTGAGAACGAGGTCTCAAACTCTACATAATAAACCCTTAGGTTTTTAATTGATCAACATAATGCATCTGAAGGTCTTAGGTAGTCCTCGAGCTAAGCTCAAATCAATTTGATGCGAGCTCAGAACGAAGGGACTCTTGAGTCCGAGTTGAGTGAGAACGAGGTCTCAAACTCTACATGTTTTGGCCCTTAAGATCTTTTAAGTTGGCCTTTAGGCTCTTATATATCGGCCCTTAGGCTCTTTAAGCTGGGCCGATTCGGCCTCTAGAATGGCTATATAATTTTTCCCTCTTTTCGGCTAAAAGACTTAGTAAAAATTTAATTATGCCTTAGCATGTGTTTTTCGTACCCATTGGATTTTTCGAAGGTTTGACGAATCAGAACCTTATTCATAACTTTTTTTATGTAATGATGGTCGAATACCTCTTGAGTTTTTTTTTCCGAAGGCTGATGTTATCGAAGCCTTTAAATTATTCGAGGGCTGAAATTATCGAAGCCCTTTATATTTTGCTTTTGCCGAGGGTAGCATGATTTAAACGGTTTGTTCAAAGTGTTTGAAGGCCTTTAATTTATGGCGAAAGTCGAACGTCTCCGAGCCGCATTATTTTGGCCGTAGCCTTTTTATATGACCGTACTCTTTAATATGGCCGTAGCCTTCGGGTATGTCAATTGGACTTGTTTCCCAATAACCTTTCGAACTTGTTCGAAAAGTTAGTCCCCGAGTATATTGGCCTTGGACTTTGTTTCGGGGGGATGCCTCTTTGAGGTCTTATGTCACGACCCAAACCGATGGGCCGTGACGGGTGCCTGATTCCTACCTGTCAAAGACCCCTAAGAATGCGTCTAAGATATGAACCTGAATAACATCTGCTGAATTACGAAAATAACATACATGAAGGAAACCTGCCAACACGGCGTATGTACTTATACATGCAGAATATAGTGGGCGAGCCGGCAAGGCTGCTATAGACAACTGTCCATCCAAAACTGAAAGCCGACAAGGCCACATACAACCCAACTAGACATACTA